GTGACGAAGACGGTTTTCGATGCTGTAAACCTGCAGCGCCGAAGCGTGACGGGGCAGCTCTGCAGGCGGCTGAAGCGAGCACCTCCGAAGAGGGCACTGACTCCCGACAAGCTGGTAGCCATGGACAGTAAGTTGTTTCTCTTTGCTTTGAACACGCCAAACTCTGCCATTTATTTGCAGCAATCAATATGACTTCATGTTGACCACTTTGAGTGCTTGGTCTTTTTATTCAGTAAATACAGAATGAAGTATATGCGTAAAGGTTGCTTGGGCAAGTGAAGAAAGGCACCATTTTTTATAGCCCCGTCCCACTAGAGCGACAAACATCGATTATTGTCTGACGACACCACAAAGTTCCGTGTCGCCCATGCTGTCCACTGCGACGGCCAATACCCGCGAGAATCGCCGAGAAGCGGCGACCAACGACCGACCACGAACGAGTTCTTGTCTGTCGTTTGAATTGAAGCGCAGCAAGCAGTCCCACCGATGAACATCTCTCGGAGACAAACATATCCTCCTCGCCCGCTTGTGCCTTCGGTTGCCTCCCTTCCCATCCTTCTACCCTTCCTCCCTTTCCTTCCGTGGCTCGCTCCGCCTCTCGACCTTCAGAGAAGCCCTTGGCGGCCACTCCTCAGTTTCGGTCCCTCGATTGCTCGTAGTGGTCGCGGGCGGCGCGGCTTGCTTGCTGGTGCCTGGCGGTCGTGTTGCGAAGGGGAATTTGCTGTGGCTGGTTTTGCTCGTGAAACCTTGTTGCGCGACGTGGTGCTTCAAGATGTCGAGGTCTACGCACCAGCATCAGGATACATACACCCATGTTCGAGGACTGGACAAAGTAAGACCGCTGGTCAAGAAGAAGGACACGATGTACCGCTGCAAGTTATTCCGGCAGACGAGAGGCTTGTCATTACGTTCTGTGATACGTTAAGCCGTTCCATTCCTCGTCACGATGGGTGCATCATGCAACCCAATGTCTATAGACACTTGTGAAAGCCACATTTTTAGATAATTTGCCTCTTCATCTTTGCCAGTGAAAGGACAAATTAAATTGTTATTTACCAACTTGCTTTTTACTTGAGTGAAATTAACTTTCTTCTGCAGACAGCTGCACGATTAGGCCTTTCTGGAGCATTAAACAACACGTCCCCAGAACCGGCATTTCTGCTCTGCATTGTAAATGAGAAATTTAGCTGGGGAATGCTTTAACAGGCATCACACAGCAGTGACGCACGGCCTGCCGGGTAGTGCTCATCCCATATGACAGCAGGCAGGTGAGGGAGCGAGAGGAAAACGTAGCCCTGGGTTTTGCAGAGAGATTCTTGGTTCTCTTGAATGCAAAGAGTTATCCATTAAACCGTTTGCAAACTTTAATCAAAAGCAAGCTCTGCTGTACTTTCGTGCAGAGCCTCAAGTTGTGCAACAATCAGTTTGCGATAAATAGCTCACGCTCAGATTTAGGTTCATATTTATTAAAAGAATGACAAGTGTTACCTTGTCACCTTCGCACTCAATACCGCACCCGGCGTCTTGCTACCATACAGCCGGAAGCGCACTGGGGCACGAGCACACGAGGAGATTTGTCTCTGCATCAGTTGGTGTTAGTGTTTAATGAGCAATGAGCCAGGCGGCGCTGGTAGCGCCACACTTGCCCTTTCAGCTCATACCGGCCGCGATAGTACCTGATGTCAAAAAGCAGCAGTTCTTAAAGAAGCATGGTAAACTGACGCTTTATGCCTTGTAAAAGAAAACACTTCCACTGGTTAAGAACAGATCTTCAGACTGAAACCCATCGCCTGCACCAAGCCGCTTTTGAGGCTTTCTTCGTCATGTTGGCACAAGGGAAAATGGGCGTGACTTAGACATCAAATAAGGTTTAAATCTTCGTTCTTTTGGGCCCTTCATTGCAGGAGCATAAAAGGACTTGTCATTTTTGACACTTATAATTTCTCACTTTTGTAATGCTTAATTCACGGCTAGCTCAGCTTCCAAGTACTGTGACAGGCTCCATAAGGCAATTGTTTCCCGTCTTTCTGTGAGCAATGCTCCAACCATGCGGCAGTGTACTCCTCTTTTCTCCGATCATGTTTAAACTTTACAGATGTCAAGCGGCAGAGGCGATCATCATTTATATCCGCTTTTGGTTTTTTGTGCATTACAACAAAAATATTTTAGTGCCTGTAGGTATTCACAAATGTAAAAAAAGAGCTGAGGAAATCCTGGGAAAATAAATAAAAGTGCCAAATTGCTATACATTGGCATGATGCAGGTCAAACGGCAATTTCGAAATAAAATTCTGAATAAAGCGAGAAAACATTGAAGTGATAGATTTAAGCATTTATAGGCATATGCCCAAAACTTACGGGCCCTAGTTCATTACATTCAGTAAGGACTAGTGTTCTTGAGTTCTTGGGATATATCAGCTTTGTCACCGTATTATGCGGTAAACCTGGAGGTGGGCCTCAGTTATTGGCAATTTCCATGAGGCGTTTTCGAACCTACTTTCACGGCTCTCCGTTTAGACTGCCAGATGCTGTGAATATTTGCTTAGCTCATGTAAACTGTCGAACGAACCCACCCCGACAGTTTTCTGTACCCACAATGACAGTTTTGTGACCTAACCACGAGGTGCCGTTGATTTCACAAGTCGCCATTACTCCGTTCACCTCTACACAGACTGGACCATAGAAGCTGCATGCTCGTTGGTCGAGTCAACTGTCAGTTTTAAACCACAGGACCAACCCCCTCACCCCCTGCAGACTCACGTGCAGAGAGTGAAGTCAAGCAATCAGAGGCAGGACTTTGGTTCGGTGAAAGGCACTCCGTTTAGGGTGAACGTTGTGTAGCCCAGAGCAGGCTAGCTGTGCCGATTTCGAAACAACGTTGTTATTTAGAAGGTGGTCAGACTTAAGGTGGCGAATATTTTGGCTGACCTATTTTTGATTGATAAACAATAAGATCCTTGCTAATTGCTCTCAGTTGCACCTTAATAAGTACAATATTACAACAAATTAACATGTGATTTGGATGTGTTTTTTCTAGGGCTGCAGTGAAACCCGATTATATTGAACCCGGTTAATTTGAACTGTCCCTTGTATCGAACTATTTGTAAGCAGACTAGTTGCTGCAATAAAAATTCACAGTGAAAAATGTGTGATTACATTGAACGAAAATTGCAGCGTCTCCTGGTAGATCGAACTGTTCTGCAAGCTGGCTTTCCCCCTAATCGGCCACATCGTTGGGGGAAAACCACCTTGCAGAGAGAGCTGACTTTTCTTTTTTTTTTTTTTTTTGAGCATCCGTTTAACCGCCCGGAAGAAGAAAAAAAAACCTATTTTGCGGAGGGAGAGAGTAAGACCTTGAAAAGCGAGGAAGGTCTCGAATAGCCGCATCGAGCGTCCCTCATGACCTACAGATGCTCCTTTGAGAGTCAACGTTTCTAAATGTGGCGTGCTTGATCGTTGTAAAATTCATTAATTGTATTTTATAAAGAATCACTCGCTATATCGAAATGGTAGACGGGTTTTTCCGAGTTCCATAAAAACGGGTTTGGCTTGACAGCAGTGCATATGGATAATTTACATATTCTTTTCGTTTTCAGATGCCTTCGACATGTAAATCGGGCAAGTACCCCTGGATGTGTCGCCTAGTAAACGGATGGGCCTCATGAACAAGTATATCGCGGAGGAACTTCAAGATATCGACAGGAAGCTTCAGTTTTAAGATACTTCTGGAAACTAACTCAGTTTTCCTGTAGATGTGATGATGGTGCTGTGTTATTTGCTTTTGTCATGCGTGTAATATATCTGTTTCATCAATTGTACCTGCTTTCGAGTCCTTGTTTTAGTTCCTTTGCATGCTTTTTTGAGGAAGGTTGTCAGGATTTTTTTTTCAGTGGAGAGCCTCGGAATACGAAAGGCAGACCGGGTGTTGGCAGCTCACTTTTTTCTTAAGAGTAATTGTACGGGTGGACCTGCATCACGAATGGACCTGCATAACGGGTCGGCCCGCACAACGGGTTGACCCGCATAACAAGTCGACCTGTATCTGGTCGGGTGGCCCTGTTTGCGACCCGTTCACATATAGGACGACCTGTTTGCATACGGGCCCCGTATGTCCATAACATCGTATGACCCAAACAGGTCAACCCGTATGAACATTATAGGGTTTTTTTCAGTAAGGATATGTTAATATCTAAACGTAGGAACGTATTAAAAGAAACTACGTGTCACTGGTTACAATATACTAGCACAAATCCAATGCAATCTACAGTTTCGGACGGGGGTATGTGTAGAAATCAAAGTTCCAACTCTATTAACCGCGATTGTAGAGACGCTACTTTTTGCGGATGAGACACCGACATTTTTCAATGAGATGACGTCACAATGTTTCAAAGAGTTCTATTTAGAACTTGTTCGGAATAAGTTAGCCATAAAAATAATATAAGGCGTGGAAAATGTTACTGATGTTCAACTAATCTTACTTTTTTTTTCTCTCTCTCTTTCATGTGTTTAAGCTTCTTGGGTTATCTCTTTAAAAAATGGACTGAACAGTGATTTCACGCTTCTGAAGGCGACCACACCCACAACTTGAAAAAAACTAAGTTTATAAACTCTGGTGTCTTAGCTTCAAAACTCACGTTTATGCTTCGATTTAAGAATATGCATTTAATTGCACCCCGGAATGAAATAAACGTTGAAAGATCTTACCTTTGCGTTCTTGCAGACCGTGGTGCATCCTCACGGCAGGCGTCGGAGGTCTGGGTTTCGCAACCTTTGGCGAAATAGAACGATACCGACTAAACGTAGTAGTGAACGAAAAAAAAGTGATTTATGGCAAGGCGTGAGGATACAGCGAAGTTCATACCGAATGAAAAATGGTCGATCAAATTGTATTTCTCGCACGAGGGGTACTGAGATAGAAGCCTTTTATTGTTATAATTCAGTTAGTTCTGGAGATAAACATTGTCCTCATCTTGTTACACGATAATTATTGAACACTTTCAGGGTCAACGAGGATGTCTTTCTAAACGGATACCTGATCCCCAAGGGTACCATCGTTGTGGCCAACGTCTGGGCCGTTCACTTTGATCCGAAGTACTGGAAAAATCCTGAAGAATTCGACCCCTCCAGGTTTCTGACCCCGGATGAATCCGCACTCCTTCCGAGACCAGAACACCTCATTCCCTTTTCAATTGGTGTGTGCTGCAACATATTTTCATGGCACTGTCTAAGCCCCAGCTCGTTCGGGCCTCTATACCTTCCTTGAAATTAGACGTACTACCCCAAACACTATGAGCTGAAACAGCCCTTAATGCTTATTAGGCTTACCTGCCTGTTCTTCAAGAAGCTGTGGTTAAAACGTGCATTGAAATTAAAGGGTTATGTCTCAGCTATTTTTTATCCTCTTACACTTCATAGATAATAAAGCTTGTGGGAACTGCAGCCGTAACAAGAATTCAGATCGGGTGTTTCTTCGTGTATTATTCGGGCCTATACATTCACTTAACGGTTGCAGAATCGGTGCTTAACAATTATGAGGGCCGTGGTTACTCGAGATACAAAAATCAAACCCTCACTAGACACCGCTCATCCACTAAAACATTTTTTTATGCGAAAAGAAAATGATCGAGTTGAACGAAAAGAATTAATATTGAAAACAAGCTTGCGTTCATATTTTGCGTGACATTGAAAAACAAAGTTCATTATTTGTGATGGGACTTAATATACGTTTTGTCTTAGACATCGTTTGAGTCACTAAGACGCTCACAAAGCACTGCGTCATACGTCACTGCTAAATTTAGCGGGAAAGCTCATGAACACAATAATAGTAAGAGCGCTCAGTTTAGGATATTCCACTCGTTATTACATAAGGAAAATTTAGAGTGTATTTGAAGAGCGATAAACTTCGTCGAGCTAGTGAACGAGATGAAGGGTGTTGTGTTTGGGTACACGATTCTGGTTGTGAAACTCGGTTTTTTTGTTCTCTTATTTTTCTGAATTCTAAATTTTGTTTTGCCAATCAAGTCGCTAGATTTAAATCAGAACATTTTCACTACTCAAGTTAGCCCTTTATAACTCTTTGTTTTTCCTCTCGTTGGTATATACTGTATACCTTGAAACCCTGCATAGTATCTCCCAAGCCGGTTTTATCAGAATTAAATAAAAACACGAAAAACCAAGAATTAAAGATGCCTTTCATTCTTAAAAAAAAAAAAAATCAGACTCAGGAAAATGAGTCTTTATCTGCAGCTTTATTTTTTCTTGACTAGGAAGTCAACCCGCACTAAGTTAACTACGAAAGAGCTTTTCTTTTTCTAATTTGCGCCAATTGTTATTATACTGCTTTTTAAGTAATCGGGTCACGTATATGGTCCCTCTATGTAAGGTGTCCCGCATTCATGTCGTGTTTCCCTTAAACAAGCGCCAAAAAACGCCGAATTTTGTTTGGCACCGAAGAACAGCGAATTTAAGATAAATAAAGAGAAAATACAACTCCTGGACTTGACAAGAACAACATTAAAACACTGAACCCCATTTATAAGCAGGCTAACTTAGTTAGAAAATCTCCCAAATGATCCGCGTATTTTAGGGGTTCGTTTTACCATGAGAAATTTTAAGATGTTTAAAAACGAGAAGTTTCTATCGTGTGGGAAATAAGAACAATATTCCTGAAAAAGAAATGCGGATGCCAACGACTGTGTTTGTGGAACGTAAGGCCTGCTCAGCGGCAGGAGCCACTGAGAACATAAAAGAGACAACTAAAGAGATACCGAGATGTTCCTTTTCATGTGCCCATTTTTTTCTACTACGTTTACCGTCCTTCACCACAGCCTCGGGTAATTTTCAACATGATCGACACAGCGGAAAAGATTTGTAGCCAGGGATTTCGCACCACCGCGTTATCCATTCCTTCATTTAACTCCAGCGTTCTCTTCAATCTGCGCTTTTGGGTCACAAAGATCGTCTGCTAATGACGCCGGCTCTCGGCGCCGTGTCCTCCTTCGTTGATGGCAATTGACGTTGTGACCACTTGCGCCATCTCTTGTCTACAGTGCCAAACGGCGCCCTATTGTTTGAATACCTTTAGCTTTGCTGTGTTTGAATAGCAGTTAAGCCTTTTTCTTTTATTTAATTTTTCCTCATTCAAGCTCGCTCTTTGCAAATTTCATAAGAAAATGCATCAACGATACACAACTTTGTAGAGCGATAGGTTAAGAAAACGTTTTTTTGCGGTCGATCTAAAGAGCCTGGCCGCTAATTGAGACACCTAGTAGAAGTGCGAATATTGCGTAACTTGGGGCGTTCAGGAAATAAAAAATTAAACACATAATGTCGAATAAGAGCGCAGCTTTTGAGAAGGAGGAGGGGAAGGTACGGAGTGGAAAATGTGCCCCTCCTCCTCATCAGCACCCTCCCCGCCTCCTCTCCCGCTCGCCTCCCATTTAGGGGAAATTTATCCCGCGAAATCTAGCGGTGAAAATTTTATGCTAAATTTAACCAAGAGTTTTTCCCGCTAAATTTAGGGAGGAAATTTCCCGCTAAATTTACCGGGGAATTTTTTTCGCAATTTAGCGGGAAAAATATTCCGCTAAATTTAGAGGGAAAATTTCCCCCTAATTTTAGCGGGGAAATTTTCGCGTAAAAAAATGTATCCATAATGCAACGCGCGGTGCGTCATCTATGACGTCATTAGTGAACCTTGTGACGTCACACCTGACGTCACGTGTGAAGTCATTACGGGGAACGTCCCATAATGCACCCCGCAATTACGCCGACGGCGAAGCCGACGCAGCTCAAGCCGGAAACGGGCGCCTAAGAGCTGCGCTCTAAAACGAGATAGTCAAATCTTTATTTTAAATGGTGCTGGTCAGGCACCTAAACCCGCATGAATACTGCAACATATTTTTTTTTTAATTTGACTTTTGAGTATGCTTAACAATTAATTTTTTTTTTATGTTTCTTTTCAGGAAAACGAATGTGTCCCGGAGGGGCCCTGGCAACAGCCGAGATTTTCCTTTGCGTGACCACGTTGCTGCAGACATTTCGCGTTTTGCCTGAGGATGGCGCCAGCTTCAGCGTAGCTTCGGATCAGTTAGCAGATCTGTTGACGCAGGGACTGTGCTTCGTACCCCGCATACCGGAGTGACGGTTTTAACTTCCGTTGATGCTCCCCATATATTTTACGCTTTTCTGTTAGCAGTGTTGTGTCTTGCTGTATGACCACGAACTTAATAAATTCACGTCACGTCTATAGGCCTTAAACCTGATGACAATAGTCCAAACGCCCTGTTGTAACACCTGAGTTCTAGACCCTTACAAAAATATGTATGGACACTTCTAGGACGTTCTATACACCAGCGTCCATAGGGAGAACAAAAGGCATCTATAGGCAGCCACAACCTCTGTTGTCTCCGTGAAGTCGTCCTATGGCTGCCCTATAGAATATTGGCCAACGGACGTTCTATGGACGTCCTATTCTATGGCTGATGTGTGGTCATCCTATACCCTCTCTATGGCATTGCGCCATGTAGTGTCCATAGGGACTCTAAGGGTGTCTACACAGAGTCTTTACGGTGTCTATAGGGTGCCTGCAGAAAAGCCATACGAAGTCTACAAGGAGTCCTTAGGAAGTCCACAGGGAAGCCATACAAGGTCTACACAGGGTCCTCATGGGGTCTGCAAAAACGCCATACAAGGTCTACAGGGAGTCCCTGCAGGGTCCGCAGAGAAGCCACTCAATCTGCAGGGGGTCTGCTATGGGGTCCGCACCGACCAACGTTTCTAGATTAAGTCAGTTGGGAAACTGCTAAAGAGCTTGCTCTGAAAAAGCGGCACCCGATCTGTACTCTAAAACCAAACTAATTGCGATCGCAACGCCACCATTCCACCCGCAGCGGCCACTTGGATAACTGAACCACTGCGTGTGTTTGTTTGGGACTATCGATATTTGACAGCATGTGACTGTTCTGCTTTGGCTTTAATCGGCCACTTTGGCGCCGAAACATATACGGTAGAAGAGGGGTTTCAGGGATGCCAACCCCGTCTGCCAGGCGGACACGCCGCGAATTGCCACCGAAGTTAGGACGCACCCAAGTCGGGACGCGCTACCTGAAATCGCCGGTGAGGCATGGCTGTAAAAAAAAATTATTGTGCCGGAAAACCCTGTAAGCTAAAAGTGTATGAAAACATCACGCTCTTGTCATTTTGTACTGATCTCCAATAAAGGATTCTACAAAAAGAGCTTTTCCCCATTTGTTTTTACGCAAAAGCGTGCTCTGTAAAAGTAATTTTAAAGAGTGTAGGGTCCTTAGGGGTCTGCAAAGAAGACATACAAGGTCTATAGGGAGTACGTAAGGGGTACACAGGGAAGCCATACAGGGTCCACAGGGAAGCCATACAGGGTCTACACGGGCTCCTTAAGCGCGATCCAAACCAACGCTTCTTTTTGCGCCTGTAGGTCGTGCGGCTGCGGATGTGACGCATTTCGTGGCGTTTTTGCTGTTTCCGGGCGCGCTTTCTGAGTCAGAACCGTGCGCTTTGGTTTGGACGGGCGAAACTTCGGGCGAGCGCGCACGCGCGCACGCAGGCACGAGCGCACAAGCAAGGCGCAACTGCGACAGACTGGCCGGCCAGGCGGCGAGAGAAAGAGAGAGAGAGAGGTCGCCTTGTCATGTTGGAAGAGAATAAAAGGGGGGGGGGGGGGAGGAGAGGGCAGCCAGACGGCGAGAAACGCGGAGCCGGAACTAGCTTGCCCTCCACCGATTGGCCGGGACAGAGGAGCGCCCTTCTACGTCACCGCGCGTTTTTGTGCGCGTTGAGAAGAAGTTGAAATCATCCAACTTTCTTGTGCGCGCCCGGAAGGAGCGAAGAAGCGGTGCGACGTCACGAAAATACGTCACATCCGCAGCCGCACGACCTACAGGCGCAAAAAGAAGCGTTGGTTTGGATCGCGCTTTATGGAGTCTGCAGAGAAGCGATACAGGGTCTGCACGGAGTCCCTACGGGGTCCATAGAGAAGCCACTTTAAGCGATGGTGGTACCGCGGTGTGAGAATCGCACTCCCTAGCTCCTAAATGATTGGCCTCATAATAAAATGGCTTGCCTACACATTCCTGACGTGAAAAAAAAAACATAAAGTAAGTCTCTGATATTGCGCGTATATAGCAAAACTACAATTACTTACGCGTCGCGCGCAGACCCAGCCTAGTATACCGCTTTTTAACGACGATCAACCAGATGACCGCAATTTTGACAGGCACCAGTGCGCCCCCCATGGGTTGTGAAAGTTGCGAATATCTACGGGGGCCGCAGCGACCCACATATACCTACCTCCCACTGAGAAAGTAAAAACATTATTCCGGCACATACTAAACACTTCCATCTCCACAATGAGTATACCCTGAAGTTGGATATGCCTCTAGACATCAATGTAACAATAGATACCCGGAACTTAATTAACAACTCTTTAACTCGGACACCTCACTACACCCAAGGAAAACGTCTACCCGGCATCACTTTATTAATGCACCAATATATAGCTCACACCATAGAGAGGCAATAGGATGACCATAGACTCACCGGGACCATAGAACGGAAATAGGAAGGAATGGAAAACTTTTTCTTTCGCGAAGATGTCTATAGCGTTTTTGTGTCCATTCTGTGGCAAAGCAATGGTACGTAGACGGTCTAAGAACTGTCTACAGGAGTCCATAGGATGGACAAAAAGGTAATAGAACAGCAACAGTATGGACATAGGACGTCCATACATATTTTTGTAGGGGGATGTACCGTTTTCTTTTTCTTGCGCTGTTCCTTCAACGTTTTGAAACATTTGTTTTACGTTTTATTGCATCATTATATCAGCTTAATTTAGATGATATGAACGACAACATAATGTGTTTATGAGTAATTGCTATTCGCGACTCCGGCAAGTCTCCACTCTCGGGCATACATGGAGGTCTAAAACAGGTCGTGCCAACGCCCAACGTTCGTGTTTCACCGGGCAAGGATTGCACCCAAAATGGTTTGCTCCAATCTTATTCATTACGTTTCAAACCTGGGTCGCTGAACTCGTGGAACAAAACATTCTTTGCTTTCTGGTGTAGCGGGGGGAGTGACCAAAAAAACGCCGCAAAGTTTCCTCTTCCCTGCGCGCGCTCTACTTCGCAACTTTTGACGCAAAATCCCCCGCGATCCCTAGGCGCTGCACGAGACAGCGAGGTAGGCGAGCGTTCACGCCGCTCGCTGTGCGTTGTCTTTGGGCTAGTGATGGACCGAATCTGCCGAACTTCAGATTCGGCAAAGTTCGGCAAATGCCGAAATTTTGCGGGAAAGTTCGGCAAAGGTTCGGCAAAAATTCGGCAAAGTCGTGCGGTTACCATCGTGCAGTGCAGTCAACCAGCCATAGGCGTAGACTTCGGGGGGGGGGGGGGGGGGGGGGGGGCATCGGGGCTCGTGCCCCCCTAGTGAGATCCGGGGGGGGGGGGGGGGGGGCGGGCAGAGCCCCTCCGTTCCTGGGCCATGATCCTTACCGAGACGCTGTTTGCGTGCCATGTAACGGGCGTCAAATAGTGGCATGTAAGCAAAATAACGCCCACGTTGCCTTTATTGAAAAAATACATGGGAAATGGAATCCCAGCGTGTTTTCGTTAGCTTCAATCTCCAGTTCTGACGAAAAGGCAACGCGCAACACAACGCAACGAAATTTTAGTGCGTATTTTATTGCCTAAATGTCAACCACGTTCTGGCCATACCATGTAGACACCAATTTTTTGCTGAAAAAGACACGAAAACATTATTCAACACTAATGTCGCAGTAGATCTCCCGATATGCGTCGCGTTTGCGACGTCTGGTTCTCCTTCAGTCAGGGCTATATGGGAGCTGGCGTGGCTGTAAGCTTCGCCAATTGATGGCGTCAATGCACTACAAGCTGGCCGTTCGAGTTGTCCCTCCCCGCTCTCCGCGGGAGTTGAATAGGCACGGGAGAAAAAAGAAACTCGGTTCAGCCAAGTTAGACAGGGCTCGGGCACACATAGCCTGTTGCCATGTTTCCGTGCAGCAGTGCTGCTTTTATGTGGTGTGATGTGACGGTATTTGGTTTATTTAAATAATGTTTTCAGCGTCTTTTTGAGCAAGAAAATTGGTGTCTTTATGGTGTGGGTAGAACATGGTTGACATTTAGACAATAAATTTAGTGCTACAATTTTGTTGCAGTAACCCTAAAAAAAGAAAGAACAAAGAACACCCTTATTTTCAACAGTTCATATCAAACATGTTTATAACTATCTGCCCTTTTGCGCTAGTCTCATTTTTTATCGCTTCATGGTCTCAGTAACTTTAGGAGTGAGTGACAGTCCCGCAAAAATGTCATCAAGCACGCAAAAAAAGTTCAAAGCCTGAAAAATCGACAGCGTGTTGCATGCTTTTGAAAAGTCATACCAAACGAAACGACCCCTGGCAAAAACTGTAGGATAGCTGTATTGCTAAATGTAAGCTTAAGAAATTGAAATTAATATGCATTTCTTGCAATTTACTCGAACAAACAATAATTTTCTTCACTCTCGCACAATCATTTGGCGGACGAAGCAAAAGTCTTTCCATTATCATAATCGTGTACACTGTAAACATGCAAGAGTCATCAACTTTTTGAATAATGTCTATAAAGGATAGTTCAGATTTTCGGCACCGAGCTAAATCAACAGTAAAACAGTGCTGACTTGAACTTACCTTAGCAGTGATACAGCAGTGCAGGGATGGGCAGTATTTCAAATACAAGTATTTGAAATACGAATTTCAAATACTTTGTGTTTTTTGCATTTGTATTTAATTAGAAATTGGGTAATGTATTTGACGTGTGTATTTAAATACTGAAACGTGAGTATTTCAAATACAATTGTAATTAAATACAAGTTTGTGGGCGAAAATACATCCCTCAAATTTACTGTCACTGTCCAGAGCAGGAAGAAAACTACGTTCTGCACCGAATGCAGTGTCTCTCAATCAAGCACAAGCGTTTAGTGACTTTGTGATTAAGGTGCTAGTCCAGGGCAAGAATAGTGACGAAAAAGACGTTCACAGGCAGACTGACTAAATAAGTGCTTGTGACAACTTGTGATGCTTTCCAGCCTGATTTCCATCCCTCTTTTTGCCTGGAACATTCTAAATGAGCGGGTCGTCTAGATTTTCGTAAATGGTGCGATTTGCAACAATAAAAAATTCTCTAGCTAGTTCTGCG